AAATAGCTTCAGGGCAGGAAAGCAAAGTGGGAATAAAAAATAGAAAACAAATCACTCACTCTGTTCGAGAGTATAAAAACATATGTCGGCAGGCTGTTTTTTAAACAAGTGCCTTTAAAAGTAACTCCTTTGTTTTACTAAACAAAATAGAAACTTTTGATTTCGTGTACAGGTGTGGAAAAGTTTGTAGGTGAGCAGTATGAAGAATGGGGCAAAATTCTGTGTGCTGAATGGATAATTAGGTAACTTGTACACGAGCACAGATGCATATAGATGTAGTATCGTACGTACATTGAGTAAAATCCACCCAGATCTGGACATATATAAAATCTAAATAAACCATAAAAAGAGGTTCAGATCCTTCTTCTCAAGAAGGAAAAGCCCTTCAGAGTCAGTTACACTTTGCAGGATAAGCTGACTCATTACCACAACTGTAGGATGCAGACAAATATTAGGTCTTCAGATCCTGGCTCTGATATGGTGACATCTCTATGTGCAAATGTGTCTACATAGTAAAATATTCAGAATAAATCATCTCTCCTGTGTACTTATATGCCAATCAATTATGCAGGCATATGAAAGCTCTTACAAATGGACTTTGTTCACATGGATTACTCCATATCAATGAATTGAAGCAGAGAAGTGGATAGCCCATTCAATGGAAAAGTCCAAAGTAACTGATGTGTGGCTTTGTAACGTACCTAGACAGAGATGATCAGACATTTGCATCATGCCTACTGAAAGAGACTAAGGTCTCAGGTAGGAGACCAAGATTGTAGAAGAAAAACCTCAACTTCCTATATAAAATGTATGTAAAATAGATTTGATTTGATTTTTAATTTTTTTAAATTTTATTTATTTGAGAAAGAGAAAGAAAGAGCAGGGGAGAGGGGCGGAGAGAGAGAGAGAGAGAGAGAGAGAGAGAGAGAGAGAGAGAGAGAGAATCCTAGGCAGGCTCCATGCTCAGTGCAGAGCCTGATGTGGGGCTTGATCCCATGACCCTGGGATCATGACCTGAGCTGAAATCAAGAGTTGGAGACTGAGCCACCCAGGTGCTCCTGTAAAATAGATTTTAGAACCAAGCAGGCAAAATTTGAAAGCTTGATTACTACTGTTTGGTCTAGTTACACAATCTTTCAGATCCCAGAACCATAGTTTTCCCACTTGCGAAACTGGGATAATTCCAAAACTGTGAGATTTCTGGGAGGAGCAAATAAAAAAGCACATGCCTGCCCCGGAGTAGTGTTAAGTCACTTTTATATGTCAACTTGGCTAGGTTATTCAACTATTCAATCAGCTATTCAATCAAGTACAAACCTAAGTACTCAGCTATTCAATCAAGTACAAACCTAAGTGTTGCTATAAACGTACTCTGTGGACATTTAGCATCTACAGTCATAATAAGTAAAGGAGGTTATCTTCCATAACCTGGGTAGAGACTGACTCAATCAGTTGAAAAGATTTAAGAACAGAACTGAGGTCCTTTGGTTTTGGATGTTTAGCAGCATTTAAGAAGCAGAAATTCTGACCATAGATTCAGTGCCAGTCCCTGCCTGAGTTTCCATCCTAAGTTTCTCTGTCTCTGTCCCTGTCTCTGTCCCAGCCTGCCTAGGATTCTCTCTCTTCTCTCGATCTCTCTCTCTCTCTCTCTCTCTCCCTCTGTCCCTCTCCCCTGCTCTTTTTCTGATCTATCTACCATCTATATTTATTACGGTTCTTTCATAGACTCCTGACTGATACAAATAGGAACCCCTAAATGTTACTTCTAATTCAAAAATGACAGTATGTATTTGAAGATATAAATCCTATATTTCTATCACACTATAGTGGTGTGATAAAAGTAAGTATATATTTTTTTCTTCTCGCCTTACTTTCTGCTCACCTTACTATATTACATTAGAGGAGAATGGAACTTTTCCTTGAAGTTCTCTCCAAGTCCTTTTCTGTTAGTGCATAGTTAGCATGGATTCACTGGTTTAAAAAATAATCATCATGTAGTCAGGCAGCCTGGCTTTGAGGGGATCAGGAGCAAGGAAGTTTGATTTCCCTGACTGAGAAGGAGAAAGGAGGATCTGAGCGGTAAGAATATCAGCATCCATGCCAACATGGAAGACCATTTACCATGTGCCAGCCGCTATTCTTAATAGTTAGCGAACAGACATTCACTTACAGGATGTAAGTACCACTATAATTCCCATGTTCTAGGTGAGGGTTGGGGGCACATAGTTTAAATTACTTGTTCTGGAATGTGGTGGAGCCACAGAAGTCATGGCAAGAACACGGCTCCACAGAGCAATAAGGCTGTAGAGTAGAAGCCTCACTTTCAATGTCTCCTTATGTAGAAAGATGGGAGATGGGCAGACTCCCTGGGCTGAACAGCACAAGCCCCTAGCGCATGGAGCATTTATGGCTTCTGTTGTGGAAGGAGAACTAGAGGAGAGAGAGCAAAAGAAAAGGGTGAGCCAAGGGAGAGGAATGCTGAGCACAGAAGAGCTTGGCTACGCCCCCACATAGGGACCCTGTCTTGGTTTTTCTGGGTCTCTAGAATTTAACTCCATGCCTAGAGAGTAGCGTATTCTCAAAATACCTGCCATGAATTGAATAGAAAGGTGAGGACAGCATTTTACCAAGACCTGGCCTACAGATTAAGACTGGAAGAGAAATGCAAAGCAAATCCTCCCCAACTGTTCGTGTAATTGAGGGCACGGTTATTTAAGGTTGTCCGATCTATAAAAAACCTCTCAAAGATCTCAGGCATTTTTTTGAATTCTTTAAGGAGAGCTCTCAAAAAACATTTCAGGAGAATCTGATGATGGAGATGAGATATTTGAAACAAATGAGAGATCTGATCCTATTCGTACTCTTTGGTTTGCTGCTTGAAATCCAACCCGGTGACCCAAATGTATTCCACCCAGGGACAGTTCTCATATCATATTTCAAAGGGGTTGGGGGTCTTCGCCAAATGCCCATCACAGAAATTGCTTTGATTGGTCAATCTCTGCGGAGGAAAGGGGGAAACTCAAAAGTCAGTGTGGAGGCTTTCCTTTCATTTCTCAGGTTAACTATTTTGGTAAACAGCATTAACTCTTCCAACGCCGTGCCAATATTGTGATGGGTAAGCTAAAGATGTGAGTGTATCAATTAACCAAATTGCCCTACTTCTGTGAATAAAAGGTGCTTGCCTTTCTAAATCTGCCAAGTTAACACAATGTCTTAAATACAGACAATTTGAAACATAAACAGTCACTACCTCTGTGACACTGATGTTTTTCCTGGAAGATTCTTGTTTAAAAGATTGCTAGCATGAAAAGAGCATCTCCCCCCCCCC